TTTACAACCTATCGTTTTTTCCGGATTGTATACCAAAGTTGAAGCATGGAGGTAAAAGACATATGTCTCCATGGTTGAAGAGAGTGTTTGCATGAATTGGGATTTGAGGCAATTTATTATCTATTACACAGATCAACGGGCAAACTTCCTTATAGATCTAATAATGATCTAATAATACAAGAAATTCCTAAACTTTGAATAACTAGACCCAGGCGGAGATCGCCGTGGTTGGTTCTTTTGAACTAACCAGATTTGCGAGACAATAAAAACGATCCTACGCACAAAAGTTGCAAGCAAGATATTATGTTTACCTATTGGCAAATAGCATGTATCCACCTGTTTTACGGAAAAGTACTGCTATGTAATTTAAATGTAAATATTTTCTTGCAGAAGCTATATGCCTCATTTTGAAAAGTAGTTTATTCCATTTATATTGGGGCAGCGTTTGCAAAGGAACGAAATCCATGGGATGTGTTGACTGTTTTAACGTGAAGAAGTAACTGTGATTTGTTTTGCCTTGTCTGCAATGAAGTGAAAATGAAGTTTTTGGGTTAGCTTGTCTGTTTGGCTTCGTCGGTAAAGGGCAGTTGTCGTCGCGCCGCTCATCTGCGACATCTGTGTTGATGAACATTGATTTTTCCATAACTCAATGCGCTCTTCTAATGAAAATCAAGAGCACGAATTTCGACCTGGGTGCAACGTGCACTAATTACCGCCGGTGACTCCTATACTTTCCAATTTATTGTGTCCAGGACAACTCAAGTATTTTTTTAACAAAATCTTTGACAAACTTGTATACTAGTATATTGTCATGAATTTGTTTTTGCGTATCTGTTGACCAACTTAATTAGTTGATTATTAGCTGAATTGCTGTGTTATGTCTGTCATCGTTTAGGCCTATTTGAAGTTTTGGACGGAACTTGGCTCAGTGATTTGGAACTAATTACGAGATATCCGCCGCGATTTTGACAGTTGGTATCCATAGTTATTAATGTAGTGAACGATTAATCAAAAGATATGACGTATTCAGTACTTAGTGTGATTGGCTTTATGATTGAAGGTTACGCCCTAGAGTCTTTTTACTGCTTTGTAATTGGTTAGAGTTGTGAAAATGAATAAAGAGAGTTTGAGTTGGTCTTGGGGAGCACAGCACGATAGACGCAGTAGAGAGAGTGCAGTCCTGGAGAGTCGAGTCGAGTCCTGGAGAGCCTTGGGGCGAGTGTTGACGCAGTCTAAGAGAGTCTTGGGTCAGCCTTGTGATAGTCTTGGGGACTTTTCCCCAGGGCGCTGTGTCTTATAGAGTGCTCGATTGACCGACTAAGACGAGAGCTGAAACGTATTTCGTTGTGTGTGCCTTATTTGACTGTAAAGTATAAGTGACTTTCCCGATCCCGTACCTCAAGGGGACGCGATAGAGAGACGAGACGAGTTTCCCCCCTGACACGTGTAGAGAACCCGAGAGTAGAAAGAATTTCCCCCTGATAGCTGTAACAGATGACAAAGGTCAAAAACAAATTTGAGGGTCTCCCAACCCTTTCATTGACACAGGTCTCTAACATCACGTCCCGGGACCACGCCACTCGGGGCATCCCAAGGCAGGAACGCGAACGCACTCCATCTCTGTGCAGTGCCGGCAATAACGCGTGTCGAAATGTTCTGAATTTGGGATCTAGTTTAATGTTCGCTACTATCGAGTTGATGTTTCGGACTTATACCATTGAAAGTTAAATATTGCATTCGGCATCGCGACATTTAACCATAAATAGAGATGAATCGTTCGAGTTACGGCCATGGAGTTACAAAAATGACCACGCCCATATTTTATGAATATGATCACAAAAGTTTGGTAGTTTGCTTTATTGGGAATTCTTTCTATCAACTTTGAATGAGCACATCGCGAACTGTAAATTACTGTAAAACATACCGATGGCCTCAAATTCGTCAATCCTTCTAGACTGATTATTGATTTAATATCATGATAACATCTACTGTTTGTATTATCAGTTCAAATTTTATTCATGGGACTATATTAGAAAAGATGTTGAAGCACATCGTCCAACCTCAAATCACAACCACAGATATGGTGCTTTGTTCAATCTGAGGTGATTCAAATATGCGCTTCTCAGAAAAATTAAAGTGACAGGGAATTGGGGTGAGATAAACCCGCAGAACTGTGCAATTGAAAATAATAACCGTAGTAAGGTAGGGTACGAATATGTTCAAACACGGAACTAACTACAGAGGGTGTGCTACACAGGCCTAATATAAAATTTTTAATGTCGTGTGATCGCAAACGTTGTAGAGCCAATGCGAACACCGGTGTTCTCACTGACCCTACAACTTGAACGGTGTATTTCTAATCTGTGTGCCAGTGCGGAACCAGGCGTTTGTCTGCATTTGGTAAACGCCCGAGGCCATAGAACAATGGGTCACATGACCAACAGTGGGGAAACAATATATTTATTTATCTCGTGCGCGTTCCAACTCGTGAATGGTTTTCAGTTCTCTACATTCCAACAACAAGTAAACGCCACAGTGTCCCTCGTTGTATTTGTCTTAAACTTCACATAAACAATCAAGTGTTCTATCGCGGTGCCAACAGTTGATTTTAAAGGTTTGAGTCATTCTTGTTCAAGTGGTACATTTACCTATGCAATATGTTTGACACAAAAAAACAAGAGACTGAAACAATGTTGTCATGTAGTTGGCAATTCCTATGGTGAATTAAGGTAGAGATGCAGTTTACCTGACAGGTATTTTAATTAGTTAATTAGGAAACCAAGATGACCTCCCTTGTCCACAAAACTATATATTTCCGGAAAGCTTATTGTTTGAATTTTAAAATTTTGTGCTTTTTTGATCAAAAGTGATTTAAAAAAAATGAGCTTCTAAACCATGCTTCTGTTTCCTGTCAAAATTGGTTTATTGGTACATCTGTTTACTACGAAGAAAGTGCCGTCTTGAAAACTGTCTACCAGTTGTCAATTTTGCAGAGCAGCAGCTCAAATTTCACTACTTCAAGTTCATGCATAAGTTAACACCCAGGCTAGTTGTCTGTACGATTGATGTAACACTGTTCAACCCAAAACAATGCCCCAACGGCGTTTTGAAGATAAACACATGGACAATCATTTGTGAAAATTTCAAAACAAAAGGTCAAAGCGTCTAGGAGCTATTTTTTTTAAAGTTCTGGGATGTGCACTAAAAAGAAGCTGAGATAATTGCTAATTTGCATAACCATTCACTCAGTAAGAAGTTTGCTATGCTCATAATTAAAAATGGCTGTAACAGTTCCAAATTTAAATGTATTATCGTTTTGTTAAAAGTTAAATATAGTGCATATTATGGAGATCCCGTCATTACTTTTTTTCACCATGTTTCTTTTTTATTATTTATGTATAGCCTTGCTAAATCTTGCTAAGCATTCAAAAGAGAGAATGTTTGCACCTGTTATCTATATTTTAAAATCATTTTTTGAGTATGTTCCACTATTCACAATTCTACACAATTTTAACAGTCTCTAGCCAAGACTGTTTGGATAAGGCCACACCGACTTAATTTTATGGATGACATCCACGTGCGCATTAGTTTTCGCCTGTTCTCAAAAAAAAAAAAAAAATCTCCTACGACGAGTCTCCACAGATCGGTTTTCAGTCTGGAACTTGCCAACTCATATTGTTGCAAAATGCCGGCTTTTCGTAAAACTCGTTTTGGACTATCTCAAAACGTGTCAGTTATGTCGTAAATGATCTTCTGTACATGCGTATTGCATTGCCAAGGAATTCCAGCATGGCGACCACGCCACCAAAATACGTGAGCACAAAATTTCAGAGGAAAAACAGAGGGATTGTTGTAGACTGGTACGCAATTGACGTCGGCCAGGGAGATGTAACGTTTACACAGCTATAAGGACATATTGTCCAGAGGTGGCTGTCCCGCGATGCAACGATGAGAGAAATTGGATAGGAGTGGAGTGAAGGAAGAAAAGACCTATTGTTGAAGAGATCGATGTGTAGAGGAGTGCCAGAGATCTTTTTATTGTTTTTTTTTTGATGCTTGAGGTTGAGATCCCTAGGCATGAGACACTAGACATACTTGCAGGGTTAACATGTAGGCTTCATTTCACCTGACAACACAGTTAAAGCTAACCCAAGGTGTGTAGAGAGGAGCAAGCAAGGACATTTCTGTATCATTGCAATGTTTTGTTAGTTATTGTCATAAAGTAGTGATATGTACATTCCGCCTTGACTTGTACTGACAATGGTGTTCATGCTGTACCTTGAATGCAGTGTTTTGACTGAAGGTACTTCATCATGACTACATGTACTAGAGCTTGTCTGAAATGGTTATACCTGTTACAGTAATACAGTACGAGATGTGTACATCAACATGTGTCTCCTACAAATAAAGACTTTTTTTGATACACTGTGTTCTGTGGTTCAATTCGTAATACCAGCTCCGTAGTCCTGTGGTTTTAGCAGCATTTTTTTTTTTTTGGCAAGATTTTTTTTTTCGCCCTCTCGCATTAGTTTTGGGGTCTCCAGAGGATGTCATCCATAAAATTAAATCAGTGTGGCCTAATAAAAAGCAAAAAAAAAAAAAAAAAAAAAAAAAAAAAATTCACTCCCAAGTGCCCACGAACCTGCATCTCTATATTCATTAAAAAATAAGCTATGTGAAAAGCAGGCTGTTGGATATTCCCATCAAGTGCTAGGTATATTTTAAAAGTAGCTTGACAATTAGTGAATTATACATACACACATTTACGTTCACATATTTGCAGTTTGTTGTTTTTATTTGATTCAAGTTATCGAACCCCTATCTACAAATACCCATTTATGATTTTAGTTCGGAATCGCTGGACCTATGTGTCAAATGAAGCTTTTAAGATTATGCTTTATCAGTCTACCCCGAGAACCGACGACCTGCTAGTACCAAGGACGTTTGAGGTCACCGCATGCTAATGTGTCACGTGACTACGATCTACAACCGTCTGGACAACCGGCGCTGGACTGTTTTTACACCTGGCATTGGTGTGTTGTTTAAGCTTAGAACGGGAGTTCACCATGTCATTTCCTAGAACGGCTGCCTCGCTAGAAGATCTAGAGTAAGTTTACATTATATTTGTTTATTTATATTTGTTTAGGTAGCAACAAGTACCTTCTTGATACCAACTGAAAAAAGTTGGTCTGAGTCGGAAGTTGAACAACATGAATGCATGTCATTATATTGCGGAAGTACTGCTCCGTTAAATGCAACCCTGATCGGCATTTCCCGTTTTTTCACCAAAAAAGAAACACTTCTCATAGTTTAAACAACATGTACATACCGGCCTAGCGTATCGCTCATCGTTTGACGGCTACTGCGTCAAATGACACAGCACCAACATCGGCGATGTCGTATCGATGCGGGTGGTATTGATTTAAGTTAAACACGGTGTCTAAATATTAACGAACTCATGGCGTATACACGCTTATATATACTAAGACAGTGACAAATTCATCATATATTAGACGTAAATTGTAGACACATTGAGTAGTATCAGTAGTCTCGAGCAGTGGCAATTGAATACGTTAGAACACCGAGTTTCGTGCGTGAACTCGAGCAGTTAAACCGTCTGGCTTGGCATAAATGCGTAAACAGCAGTTTAAATGGCGCCTTCTCCCCTCTCTGAAGAAACTAGGGCAATGGCATCGTATCGAATTTAACGACGGGTTGTTTAGCCCTCCTCCCCCTCCCCCCGCCACACACAACTATTTCGTCATGCGTCCGCTTTTCACTGTAATAATGGCAGTCTCGATTTCTTGGAAACATCCATTCAAGCTATTGGAATTCTACGAAATTGAACTTGAAACTATTATCTGTTTTGTTTATAAAGCTGTTGAACTAAACCGTCATCAGATTTTTTTTATAATGTTATTATTAAAACTGTGTATTATTACTTTTGTACATATTTAATAATATTTCTGTCACGTTTTTTTCAATGTTATACATTGTTTTTTGAAATAGTAAACGTTTCAGTGCTTTCATCATATTTTATTCAAATCTGTTGATGCATTTGTCAGTCACTTCTAATTGAAATTGTTTATTTATAACTTCCCCATGTGTGTTAAATTATTTGGGTCAATGTTGATGATTATATATTTCCCCAAAACACGATATCCCAATTACATTATTGTGTCAGTAACGAGAAAGTCGCGTTGGTGAAAGTAACTGAGCATGCGCAGTACATGGCATCATGGTATTTTTTTCAGGATAGACGTTGTATGATAAAGGGTACGTGTATATAGACCCGAGAGAGTGTATGATGCGTACAATTAAAGCGCGGTAGTCGTCGCGCTGTGCATGTGCGACATTTGTGTTGTTAAACATTGATTTTCCCACAATCCAATGCACTTTGACCTGGGCGCGACTTGCACTGATTACCGCCGGTGAATCCTTGATACCTTCGAATAACATGAAAATTACC